TTCAGCTGTATTCCAGAGATGGATGGTCTGATATGACGTCACATTTTCCTCCAACATGTGACCTGTTGATCAGACGGTCAACAAATGAACGGCTTCAATAAAGATCGTAGAACGACCTTAGAAACTTCAACATGTAAACATGTTATATATATAATATATATAAATGTAGTTCAGCAGAGCTGTGTTCTAGTATTTCATTTGATTTCGTTGTTTTTCCTTTTCTTCAAGGTAAAGATAATCAGTAGAAGAGCCGAGGCTAGTATGAACTAGCGAGAATGCAAGTACAGACTTGAGTACTTGAGTATTAAGACACGGCCATATATTTTTCCTCGCCCTGCTTTTTTTTTTTCTTTCTCCATGTCCCTTCTGGGCCTCAGTATAATATTACCTTCACTTTGGCTTGAAAAAAAGTCACAACCAATGTTTCCTCTACATTCATTTAGGAGCGGCGAGTGCGAAGGTAAACTACAGATAACGTTGTTGCTCAGTCTCTACTGTTTGGGGTTTAATATGACGTCAATTACTCGCGACTACTAAGGTAAATTACAGATAACTATCTTGTTCAGTCTCTATTCTTTGGGGGTTAATGTGACGTCAATTACTCGCGACTACGAAGGTAAACTACGGATAATTATCTTGCTCAGTCTGTACTCTTTGGGGTTAAGATGACGTCATTTACTCGCGACTACTAAGGTAAAGACAGATAATTATCTTGTTCANGACAAAACGGTGACCACAAATCAAACAGCATCGTCAAAGATTAGAGACTGAGCAAGATATCTGTAGTTTACCTCAGATTTACCCAGTGCAGGACTCTGCTGTGAAGGTGGAGACATGCGGTGGTGGTGAGTTTGTGACGATAAAAAAATTAAATTAAATTTGAAGGAGCGGTGGCGAGGATTTAGGAATGGTGGCCCGCCACTCCTAAATGAATGTAGAGGAAACACTGCTCTCAACGTAGCTGTTTCGCGATGAAAAGTTTGCTTTATCGGTAAATCCACACCGGAATCAGTTAGTACTACTTCATGTGTTACACTGAAATCATTCCGGGCGTCTTTTGGAGGCTCCGTTAGCCTCAGGGAGCTAAGGAGGGAACACTCGCTCAGCAAGCCGCTCGTCTTCAAGATGGCGTCCAGATGATTCTGATTGGCTAACAGTGCTGTCAATCTCATGTTGGTGGCTGTCGCTATATTCTATTGGCTCTAACGATTCGAAGGAGGTGTCAATCACTGAAACTGACCAATCATGACGGAGATATAGCCTTCCGTCACCACAGGAGCTCCACAGCAGTCTGAGCAGCATCAGGACGCGGAACACAGACAGCGGTCTGGTTGGATGTTCAGGAAACTAAAGAGCTGCTGTATGTGGATGTATTGAACCCCATCAGTGATCTACTAGTGGAATATATAGTTTGTACATGAGAACATTCAGATGGTCACCAGTGAGCCAGAATGAGAGCTCGCCTGAACCGTCTGGACTAAAAACTCTCTGACGTTGTTCTGCTTCACTTGATCAGAGTCACAATGTTCACATGTTGTCTGTGATCTGGGAGAGGTTCAGAGCTGCAGCTGGATCACTACAAACATCATCATCATCCTGAAAATGTTTCCTCTGTGCTGTGTGCCGTCTGCATTTACTCTGAACCAGGAACATATAAACTGATATTTACACACCTGAACACATCTTACTAGTGTTCCTTTAATTATGACACAAGAATCATTCAAACAGACCTTGTGGTTGCAGATAAACTCTGGTTATTATGGGATGTCATTCACTTTATTTTTTCAGACACACAGCACATGTGTTCTTCATAAAGCGTCATATGACTGTAAAATGAAATAAGACCATTTTTAAGAGACTTTCTCAGAATTTTATTAAAAGAAAAGGTTTGCACTGAAACTAAAGTATGCAAAGGACACTCCACCTCTGGGAACCGCTCATTCTGGCAAAATGTACCCATAAATGTAATTATGAAATGTGACAAATGACTTTATCTGTGCTACAAGCGCTCCACTGATTTAGCATCTTCTAATATCAGAGTTATGATGGAACATTTTTTAAAAGAATCCAAATTGATGCCACAGAAGTAAACATTGTCTTTCCTTTTATTCCTTTTATTCCTCTTCCTTGTCAAAAACTACTTGTACGGTGGTTGTCCTCCATTGTCGTTTCTCCATCCTGCCAAGAAGACCCAGAAGT